CGCCGTCTTCCGTGTGCATCAAGAATATTAATTGCTGGAGGGGAAAGTCGTCTGTATGTGTTAAAAAGAGCTGTGTGGGGACAGGTCCTGGTCTCTAGCCTAAATTACTAAAAGTCGCTTGTCTCTTGTGATGGGTGTAATAAAAGGGCAGTGCGTGTGTCACTTTTATTACTTCATTAAGTATTTTTTTCTGTTCTGCAGCTAGTGGTATTCTGGCTATTGACAAGGCCAGGGAGCCCATCACCTTAGTACTGGCAGAAGATGGCACCATTGTGGATGACGAAGATTACTTTTTGTGTTTGCCACCTAATACCAAGTTTGTGGCACTGGCCAAGAATGAGAAATGGTCCAGCAAAGGCTTAGGTACTCTGTGGATGAGGGAGGGGGGTTTGGAATACACAGAGTGAAGTGAGGCTCTCGGGTGGGTCAGGAATGACCCCTGAAACTGATGACTCTTGTGTCAGACAGTGGAACAGCCTGGCTCTCGGAGTCTGTGGATGAAGTGGACAGCGCTGCAGAGAAGTGGAAGCAGCTGGCCAGGCAACTGAAGGATGACCTGTCTAATATCATCTTGATGTCTGAAGAAGACCTCCAGGTACAGTGGGGAAACCTCTAATTCCTGTCCTTGGCTCTGTCCATCATCCGTTTATCTCAGTAGATGGCAGAGAACAGAATAAGTGAACAAGATCTCAAGCTTAATTCAGCTGCTGTTGTTTGGCTGTGGTGCTAGAGTCAAATTTCTCCTTGAGGGGAAGCACTCCCCTTCACTCAGACACACAAGTGTCTGAGGAGGATGCTCTTAATCATCGATTCTCCCTCACAGCATGTCTTTCCAGTTCTGGCAGTGGGAAGGCAAAAAGTCAAGGTTTGGCCAAATGGTAACCGAGGTGGGCTCCTTCCTTAAAACCAGACACCAGTATAATGTGTCAAAAGGGAAGGCTGAACAGCATGCCAAATCTCTCTGCTCCCAAGGGGTTTGAAGAACTGCTGTCACTTTCCAGAGCCAACTGATTCAATATCTGACTGCTTAATACCTTGTAGGTGGTGAAGTGTGGTGGTGGCTGTCTCTTCTTGTCCTCCTGCGATGTGTGCCAGCCTATTGGCTTTCCTTTCTGTATTCCCATGCACTCTTAAGAAGTGGTACTTTGATTGCCAGGAGTTGTCAGGATTTCTGTTAAAAACGCATATATTCCACACGTTCTAGGATTGCTTTTGGCTTCTGGTAAAGACTGTTGGCTGGTGGAGTGCCACTAGAGCCTCTCATAACGATGCTGGCTTGCTATGACCAGAAACCTTGTGAAACACGCTGTCATTCAGGAGGCTTGCTGTTTGTACTGTAGTCAGTGTAATGGAATGAGTTACTCGGGCAGTCCATGTAACAGGAGCACTTTCATCGTTTTAAGGTGCTTATTGATGTACCACGGTCAGACCTGGCAGAAGAACTTGCCCAAAGTCAAACCAAAATCCAAGTATTGCAGGACACCCTGCAGCAGGTGCTGGACAGACGAGAAGAAGAACGCCAGTCAAGACAGCTCCTGGAACTCTACCTCGAGGCCTTGAAAAATGAAGACAGTATTTTAAGCAAAGTAGCAGGTAGGGAGCATTGGGACACTAGAGAAGAGGCTTTTCAGAGATGCCTGAAATAGCTGAGTGGAATAAATAAGGCAGAGTGAAGGACTGGAGCGAGTCGCTTGCTTACCAGCTATTAATGTGGTTGATGTAATAGCTGGTGTAGTGTAAGAACTCTCTGACTGGGCGAGACCAGGAGTTCTCTCACTGCCGTGTCACATTTCTCAGAATGCCTGAGAGTAGAATACTGGGAGAAAAGCTTAAATCAATCGTGTAGTCATCCTTAACATTATCTAGGATGCAGCTAGATAGAATGCTTATTTTATTAATCTCAAAACCATCAAGGCAGTCCAGGCCATTTTCCCTGACCCGTGTTTGTCACAGGCTATAATGATTCTGCTACTTTTCAGAATCTGAGACTGTACGAAGAAAGGAGATGGATGTGGTTGACACAGGTACCAGCAGTATAGGCACTTCAGCCAAAACGGCGCTCAGTGACCAGATCCTTGCTGCTCTGAAAGAGAAACCTGCTCCAGAGCTCTGCTTGGACAGTCAAGATCTAGAGGTGAGTGAGAATGATATAACCGTATTCTGGCAAATCTCTCCCTCTGGAGAGAGAGAGGTTATAGGGGAGGCTGTCCTTGCTTCTGGAGGCTCTAATGTCAATATATCTCAAAGTGGTGGCATTTAATCTATTTCTCTTCCTCCGTAACACTACCCCCTGCTTGGCGTTCCTCTGTAATAGCCAGATGACACTATTCCAAGTACTCTAGCCTGTCCTCTGAAAAGCCACAAAATAATTTTGATTTTGATCTCTGCCAAATCATAGTCAGCCAGTGCTTCAGCTGTCTTACCAGCAAGCTTTGGGTTTTTTGTATGGAGGCGCATCTAGCTATATTTCTTTTATACATGCCAAATCAAAATAAAAAACTCCTTATTTTGGAAAACAGTGTAAATAAACCCATAGCTTGGAATGGAAAGTCTCGGTAAATTTTAACTGTTGGAAAGTGTGTTCTTTCTAATGCTATGAACTTGCTAGTCCTGCTTTTCCTGCTGTAGAAACTAACTGCTTTCTGTTCCTTTGAACATCTGAATAGAGCATCAAGCTCTAAATCTTGGTAGAATATTGAAAATCCACTAGCCCATGGGACAGATGATGAAAGCTGGGCACATCTTCAGTATCAAATTGCCAGCAGTAAACAGGTGTCTCGTTACTGCTGTTCTTAACGTGGGCAGAGGGGTTAGTGCTGGTGGAGCACCACTAGAAAAGATATTAGAAATCTATCTCGCTACAGCTGGTCTTGAAAGAAGAGACAGAAGCCCTGGCCTCAGCTCTGAGATGGGACAAGCAGAAAGCTGAAGCTCTCCAACAAGCCTGCGATCAGGAGCTCTCCAAGCGTCTACAACAAGTGCAGACTTTGCATTCCCTAAGGAGCACGTCAAAGGGCAAGAAAACGCTACCCTGGGGAGACTGGCCTAGTTCAAAACGCAAAAAGTAAGACTGCAGTGCTGCTCGTGACTTTTTTTTTTTTTTTTTTGGATTAGAATCAATATAAGCAAAGATACGTTCTGGGAGCCACGGTTTGCTGGTTATACTGTGGTCTGCCTATAGACAACTAAAATCTGGACATTGTCATGAGGCTTAAAGTCCTGTGATGATTCAAATCATGTGTAACCAAAGGGATTTGGACTTTTTGCAGAATACTAGAACAATGGTATTGCTAAACACAGCATGGAAGGGTTCAGCTGCCTGGGAGCCAGAAGCTTCCATCTGATAATAATAGACCTAGCTTCTGAAGCCCCAGTTTGCTTACTTTGTCCTCCCACCATTTTCCATGTGAAAGAATGAAGACCTCTGGAAGATACTTTGAGGTACAGTTAGTGAACAGGGCGGGGGGGTTAGCCACCTGCTGTCTGGCTTTAAGTTCCAGTCTAGGATCTAGGAACTTGAATTACCATGCTATTTTCATCAAAGTAAATTCAAAGTCCTTTAACTTCTGTGCTTTTTCTGTAAGGAACTCCTGTCTCTTGGGTGCCGTGTAAGCACTAACTTGTAAGACATAGCAAAGGTGGAAATCCTTGATTTGTAAGCCTGTAGGGCAGAGGACTTGTATTTGGCCTGTCTGTATTACTCTCCTAATCATTAGTGTAGTATCATGATGCTTTTGTATTAACTGACTTATTTTTAAATTTGTGAAAGTTTTTTCTTTTCTAATATTATTAAAACCTTTTTACCTTACTGTGGGACTAGTTTTGATATTTCCACCGGCTGCTGTCATTAAAGAATGTGCTGATAAGTACAGTATGACCTTAAGGACA